AAATATCTGAATGAAGATATCAATTCCCCTAATGTTTGCAAATAATAAATAAAAAAACATTTTCAATACAAAAATATAATAGCGAACATATTACAGATACCATACATCCAGCCATTACATGGTTTGATAGTGTCATTAGATTACAAGAATGAAAAATAGTTTGGCCACTAATTCTATAACACCAAATGATCACACACAGTACAATAACGGTCACCGGAGATTACCGAGCGGTGTCGGAAATATAGTCGGGGAACATAGCGGCACTCGACCGTGATATGGGTAAAATTGACCTATGGTGACAGTCGTGAGAGGCGACTAGATAGTGGGGCGGTTAAGATGGCCGCCAAAATGGTTAAAATCTCTTATGATGTCAGTATATATTCAATATATCATACTTATTTTGTCAATTTTAGTAATTTACGGAAAAATTAATTGCAACAATGTTGCATACAACCCAAATCTTATATGCAGCGCCCATTGGTGGCGAAGAAAATCCAAGATGCCCACCAAAATGACTTAATCTTAAAAAAATGTCAAATGTTTGTCCACAGTATCAGTATCATTTGTTCATTGCAATCATTTCAATCAAATTTGGCGATAAAACAATTCCAAATAATGCTTTACTGAATATATAAGCTTTTGGTAGTAAAATCCATTCATTTGAAGCAAAATCTGTATTCCGTAAAGCAGATCTGGGGAAAATATTAGACTGCATAAACTTTGTTTAAATTCTGTAACTGAACACAATACAAGACTGGAACCGAATAGTGCCAGCAATTCTGAGAGATTACAATCAAGGCAAAGATATCATATTGGAATTTGATAAAGATATTGAACCAGCACTGAAGCATGCCTTTTTAATTCTGAATCATTGAGGCTAACTAAACGAGCAACAGAGATGTTGAGATGCTGTAAGGTTGAAAACAAACTTTCAGGGGAAGATTTCCGTCTGACTGCCATAAACAGTCTGTATCTGCCTCTTTGAAAGCTCTAGTCAGTATGAAATTTGAAGGACCAGGTATGATAAAACAATCCTCAAGCATCCCAAACTATTTCAGAACATCTTTTCTTCAAAGCGTGAAATATCGGCGCACCAGCACACCGCTCAGACCGAGCAATGCTAGTCCCATCTGACTTGTTAATAAACAAGAAAACGTGGTCTTATTGACACATTTCACAATATGGGTTTGTGCATTTAGCATGACTGTCTGGTGTATTTCAACAGATATAGCACAGTTTGTTAAAGCGTTCACTCGTCACGCCGAAGACCTGGGTTCTATTCCCGACATGGGTGCAATGTGTGAAGCCCATTTCTGGTGTCCCCCGCCATGATATTACTGGAATATAGCTAACACAAAAACTAGGTTGTTGTTTGTTGTTTGTTGTTTAACGCCGCACTCAGCAATATTCAAGCTATATGACGGCGGTCTGTAAATAATCGTCGAGTCTCTACCAGACAATCCAGTGACTGACATCATGAGCATCGATCCACGCAATTGGGATCGATGACATGCATCAACCAAGTCAGCGAGCCTGACCACCCGATCCCGTTAGTCGCCTTTTACGACAAGCAAAGTCACCTTTTACGGCAAGCATTTGAATCCTGGTCAGATGCATGTGCTCGCCTTGGATGAACCATTATACCCAATAACTAAAACAATACAGTGGAACTGTCCTGAATTATATGATGAAGTTCCTTATCATGTTTGGTAGATTTGCATATTGAAAAAGTTGCTTTCAGTATTCTCAGAAACTGCGCCGAAGGAAGAATATGGAAACTGCAATCTGTGCTGCTGGAATTGCCTCGGGCAGATTTGCTGATTCCTACATCATGAGTACCCACCCTGCTACAACATCAGGCATATGTGCAATATAAGGAAAAAGAAGCAAGCAAACACAGAATATCCTTTCAGAAACTGGTTTGCACCGAAGTAAGCCGCTCAGCCCGTTTCACTACTGGTCCCTCGTTCTTGAACAAGAACTTTGTATATTGTGCCTGGTGGGTGCAATTCAAAAAGCAGATTTCCCAAAGTTTGCAGTATCACTTGTCATATTAATGGCTTGCATTTCACAGATATGTCCCTCTTACAGTAGAACACACGCACCACTGTACCAGGAATATTGTTCTGGTGGATTAGTGACACACAAGACTAAACGGACATTCTCTGGTGTGGCACAAGATCAGACACATGAACAATTCAATAGTCGTATGAAAGGAGATGGAGGTGCAGTTGGATTGATTGAAACAGCCGAGAGTTGTCTTCTAGAGGCCTACGGAATTCAAAGACATTGTCACTATTTCATGCCTTCACTGGTTCATATGCTTGGAATACGTGTCAAGTATTTCCTGAAGTCACCAATGCTTTCCCATCACCAGCAGATATCTCTGACAACACATTGCAGATTCTTGAGCGGTTTGTCGTTCTCACTGGTTTATTCGGAAGGTCAATGAAAAGCAAAATCTCTGTTCGTGAAGATCTCAGACATCTGACAACATTTCAACCCAAAGTAGGCAGCTCTAAGACAGTACCAATGCATGTATGGGGACAGGTGCTTGACAAACTTGTATGAATCTTGTAGTCAGGAGTTGGGAGAGGACATGCAGTAATATATAGATACCCAAGTGGACAACACTTGGTCAGGCATAAAGAAGTGTTATAAACTAACACTACACCTGTTAGAAGTCTTGCAAACCTTTGTAAACTTTACACAGCCGGTCATGAGTACAGTGCTATGTGATACCTTAAAGTAAAGTGTTCATTGTAACTGAATAATAGAACTGTAAACACATACATTGTACCGATATTCCTGGTCATACTTAAGTAGGAAGTAAGTTGATATAGGTTCATGGCAATAATGTCAATAACACTTACACATATATTCCTGTTTTTAAGATATGAATCCATTCCCAGATGTTTATGAGTCATTTTGGGGTGATCTAATATGATGGATACAGTTCACTTTGTTCAGGAAAAGATGCCTTCATTGTGTTGTTCTCTAGAACATGACATATAAAAAACTAAAAAAACTAAGTAGAATATTTCTCAGTGGACAATTCATAAAATAATATGCCGAGCCATCATACCAATAGATCATACACAATTCATATTAATGATACAATGTAATTTAAAAATATTTCATCATATCAAAACTTATCAACTTATCCTAAGTCCAAAGATATCAAATGATATCTATATATGCTGTAGAAATAGATAATTTCTGAAAACTAAAACACATTGGAGGCCATCTTGGATTTTCGTCATCACCAGGGGGCGATGCGGACCAGATTTGAATTATATAAAGCATTGTTGCAAATGATCCTGAAAAAGATACTGTGATAAATTGTATGAATTAACCAGATAATTATGATATAATGAGTATAGATTAAAGTCATTGGAGATTTCAACCAAGTTGGCGGCCATCTTGGACTTTCATCACCACCAGGGGGTGCCGCATACTAGGTTTGAATTATATACAGGATTGTTGTGATTACTGCAAAAAAACAGTACAATGATAGTTTGTTCATATTGGCCAGATAACTATGATATATTGAGCATAGATTGTTATCATTAGAGATTTCAGCAATGCTGGCGGCCATCTTGAATTGTCTACCACCAGGGGTCGCTGCAAACTATACTTTAATTATATACAGCTAAATTATATATGCAAATCATTCCGCATGCATTACTATGGATATATGTATAGATGGATCAGATAAGTATGATATATTGAGTATATTTTGATATCATTAGAGAGTTCAGCCATTATGGCGGGGATCTTGGATTTTCTACCACCAGGGGGCTCTGCTGAGGTGGATCCATATCCAAAAATGTTCGGAATGGTTCAAGTATAAGTGTGTCAAGTTTGGTGCTTTTAACCCAAAGTGCACAATTTTAGCCTTCACCGCCCCACTAATATGCTTGTTGTAAGAGGCGACTAATGGGATCGCCTGGTCAGGCTCAGTGACTGGTTGATGCATGTCACCGTATCCCTATTGCCCAGATTGAAGCTCTTGATATCAATCACTGGATTGTTCCGCCCAGACTCGATTATTTACAGACCGCCGCCATATGGCTGGAATATTGGTGGTTGCGGTGCTAAACAACAAACAAACAACTTGCCTTGAAATATTTGCACTAACAACCACAGCAGTTTATATATCCTCAAGGGTTGCCTGGGTAGTATCTTGGATAAACAACCGTGTCACCTTTTGTTCACAATGTTCTTTCAACGCCAGGGGCATATTTCAGCTGTGGGTAAACAATATTCTCGCGATTTCGCAAACTGATATCGCCACTTTCCGCATACTGTTGTATCTGGGATACATACTAAATCCTCTAGTGGTTAGAATGTGCTCGGATCTGAGTAGAGATTGTGGAGTTTCAAGTTACAAAATGCAAAATCCTTATGCAGAGAGCCTTGGGATGGTGCACCTGGAGATCATATTACCAAGCAAAGAACACTGTGTAACAAAGCCTACAGGTATATATTCCACTCCCGAGACAATTGATTGGCATTGGGCGCATTTTGTTGGTGTCTCGGGGCGGTCGTCGCCGCAGCGTTGAGTTGGATTTACAAGCCATACCCCTTAATGGTCAAGCGTTGTCAATGATTAACTGTGAATGAATGTTATTCGTCATACATTTTAAAATTTTGTTCATGATACGACACCAAAAATGTCATGAAAGAGAACAAATAATGAATTACAAAAAGATTATACATTAGCAGTTATTGTCAGCCACTATGGCTAAATTGTATTGTCAAAAGAATTATCTTATCGGTCATCCTATATCGTCCACTTGCATGTGGTTGTCCGGATAAGGAATGAGATCAAGAATGTATATTGTGTGGATCAAAGATTAATTTAGAATCGTGTGTGACGAACCCGAGAAGATCTCCAAAATGTCTCAGTCACAATATAAAACACCCCTCTGATTATTGCTCCGCCCACTGAATATTGAATTACTGATTTCTTTCCCCGTTTTAACTTATCAGTTTGGTAGTATTTCACTAAAGCATGACTACTATGGCGACAGGGTCCTCATTTCAATCGAAAAGGATTTTTATTGGAATTATTCTTTTGGTCTGTGGTATCCTGTACTGCGTTCTCTATATCTTCAGTGCAAACATTCCCACGGGATTCTTGTTCCAATATCACGTTTCTGAAGGAAACAACAATACAAGTTTTCTAACATGTTCAAATACAACTTCTACACGGAAACAGACAGTTTCTACAGGGATACAACCGATTACTCCAAAATGGCAGCCTGTTGGAGATGGAAAAGACCTCTTCGTTTTTTCAGCATATTTCAACAAAGAAAAGAAGGCCGTGCAGGTGATAGGGATAGCCCTTGTTCAAATAAAGGTGAACTGCACTTGCACCTTCACAACAGCAACAGCAACGGCAACAGCAACAGCCGCATATGGAGATGGAGAATCTGTGCGTGGACACCTGGAAATAATACCTGAACACCACGGTAGAAGGTAGAAACTTATTGGTATTTTGTATCTCCATTTTCACCCCAATCTCCTTCCCCTTAGTTGCTAGGAGATGTCCATGTTATGTCATGCTTAGAGTCAGAAAGATCGAAGGGGCAGAGTATGACGAGGACCATCTGATTTGTATAATTCTAAAATATGTGCTGAACATTTGGCATGAAAACTGTGTTCCTGAAAACGGAGGAGCTCTTTCCTCATGTTTCTAAAGGAAACAGTTGTTCACAGGACAGACATGGCGTTCTGATTATTGTGTCGTGGGTCATAGAAATTGTGTGGTTTCACCTGAAAATAAGTGTTTGGCTTGAAACATTGACAGAAAAAAATAATCCGTCTCAGACAATAATCCCATCTTAAATGATCAGCCCTAACATACACCCTCCTTTGCCCCTCCTTTCCAGCCTCAGTTACTGTGTGCATATCTAGTTTTCATTCTGATAGAACAGTACTTTGTCTCATGTTCCTAGTCAGAGCTCTTATATTTTCAGTTTTTACTATTACGCTGACTATAAAACTACTAACACTTCCTAATATTTTGTGCAAGTAGATAGCGATGGGAGATTCCAAGAATACACGTTGTGGACATATTGCAAAAGACACCCGAAGATCCGGGGTAGAATAGGCCTTCAGCAACCTGTGCTTGCCGTAAAAGGCGACTATGCTTGTCGTAACAACATGCTCCTTTCCACAATTAAACAATGACCGTTTGTACATTGTCCTTTCCTCCGAGTGAGTAGGATTGAAGGTAGAAACGGTATGTGAAACATGCTATTTCTGCACTTGCGTTTACTGTTCGCGTTGTGTTATTTTCATTTATGTCTTCGTGAGACATTTCTTTGTTTAAAATATTACCTTTTCTGTGTGTGGGGTGGGGTGTGTGTTTTGAGGGGTGGGGGTGGGGGTGGGGGGAGTTGCACCCCTTAGATTGAAAAAGAAACTATATCATAGAAACATTACAGAATTGATGTTATATCAAGGTTACCTGAAACGCCCCCACTAGCCATACTCTTGGCTAAAGGGGGCACAAGTGGCCCAGTCGTCTAAGGCGCCGCGATTCGCTGTGCAGAGTTGCGTCCCTTGGGCATGCCAGAAACCTATGATTGTGGGTTCGAATCGCGGTTTCTAGGTTTGTCAGCACCATACCTGTGCTCGTGGGTAAACGTCTGAGACCTGCATCACTTCGGGCTTTCCTCCCTCATTAAGCTGACACGCCGTGATATAACTGGAATACTGTTAAAAGCGGCGTTAAACCCAACTCACTCACTCACTACTCTTGGCTAACTTTGAATCCATACCGGGATTATAAATACAAAACAGGTCTGCGCCCACAACTAACAAAACGCGTATATTCTGTACCCGGCTGGTAGTATAACCCAATCAGCTCGCAGGCCTAGCGGGTGTAAGAGGCCCAAGTCAATCCCCTCAAAAATATTACAGACATTATTTGTATTCTTCAAAACAAATGGGGGAGTCATTTGAGCCGGGGGAGTTATTTGAGCCTACGACTGGGGAGTCGTCAATCTCATTAAAATCAGAACTTAGTTCTCGCAACTGCTAAACAAAGATCTGAGGACATCCCATTACGGGTCACGTCAGACCGACCTTGCACGAACTTTGAACGACGAATGGAATGACAGACAAGAAGTCGACATTAGCCAATCAGAAGGCAGCTTTCTCGTGCTTTACGGCACTAATTTCAAATTGGCGACTACGTCTCGAAACGTATGTTCACAAATTCTCGATTAAAAATTTGAAACCTGAACAAAAGAGCACTCTGGAATGGCTAAAATATGGTCTAGATTGTATGGATTCAGTCGTTAAGCACGTAACGATCGTTCGGAATACCCCGTGTTAAAGTTTTCGAGGTTGCATGATTAGAAATCACATTCCGACTGTCACTTTCATGATCTGGTAAGCGACGCTCTGATTGGTCGGATGAAAGGTCGTTCTGACGTGACCCCCAATGGGATGTCCTCAGATCTTTGTTTAGCGGTAGCGAGAACTAAGATCTGATTTTAATGAGATTGGAGGAGTCGTTTGGGCCCTGGGGAGTCATCTGAGCCTCCTACACCGGCTCAAGGGTGTTTTAGCCTAGGCCCAGATAACAGGATGTTAGGATCATAAAAGTCGGTGAAGACCATGTTCCCTTCAAACAAACACAGGCATATTTTGATAAATGAAACAACTTCGTGTGGAATCCCAAATGTCTACTTCGCTTGCAGAAATCGTCCCACGCAGATTGCAATACACCATGTCAATATGTCCCCCGTGTACAATTATGATTAATGCATTGTAAATTGACATGGTCCCAGCTTGCAAACACGAATTCTAAAAGCTTATGCATTTTTGTCATCTGAGGCAACAGCTTCATTTTGCGAACAATAGTGTCATCACCGATCCTTTAGTGTATGTTTTTACCGCTCTTGTTATAATGTTTACGCCAAATGGAATTTGTTTAGTTGTTAAGAAATTGTTTAAACACTAGCAATTATGTTGCTACGGTTTGTTACTGTTGAGTATTGATTACAACATCTGGTGTTATATAACACCCAATAATGTTTGTATACATGCCTGCAGTCTGGGTTCTCTTACATTTGTAACTGTAAGACTATGTTGAAAATAAAAGAAACGGGGAAACTACAGGCGATACCTGGGCCCACTTGCACAAAGCGATCTTAGCGCTAAGACTATTGCAAGCCTATGTTAAAGTATGGGAGTTAAGATCATCTTAGCGCTAAGATCGCTTTGTGCAAGTGGGCCCAGGTAATGGGAAAATACGACCTGAATGTAAGTGTGGTGATTTTACACGCATATGTTATGTAAAGAGCATGCATAGTTCAATTATAATATCACCCATGAAGACCCTGGGTAGAATAGGTCTTCAGCAACCAATGCTTGCCGTAAAAAGCTACTATGCTGGTCGTAAGAGGCGACTAACGGGATCGGGTGGTCAGGCTCTCTAACTTGGCTGATGCATGGCATCGATCCCAATTGCTGCACATATTGTCAATCACTGGATTGTCTGGACTCGATTATTTACAGACCGCCGTCATATAGCTGGAATATTGTTGAGTGCTGCGTTAAACAACAAACAAACAAACAAGGCAAATGGTCTCTCGCTTACAAACAGTAGTTCTACAATTTAAAGTTGCTTGTTTGTTATTTAACACCACACTCAGCAATATTCAGCTGTATGAAAGCTGACTGTAGATTATTGAGTATGGACCAGACAATCTGTGATCGACATTGTGAGAAACGTTCCATGGTGTCGGGTACGATGACACTCAATTAAGTCAGCAAGCCTGTCTACGTACAACATTTTACACACTGTATACGTAGACCATTTTAAATACTGTAAACGTCGAGAATTTGAGATACTGTATTCGTCGAACATTTGCCATACTTTATACGTCGAGCATTGTATATACTGTGTACGTCGAGCATTTTACATACTTTATACATCGAGCATTGTATATACCATATACGTCGAGCATTTTACATACTGCATACCTCGAGCATTGTACATAATGTAAACGTCGAGCTTTTTACATGCTGTATACGTCGAGCATTTTACATACTTTATACGTCGAGCATTGTATATACTGTATACGTCGAACCTTTATATAGGTATAGGTCAATCATTCTATGTACTGGATACGTCGAGCTTTTTAGATACTGTATACGTCGAGTATGTTAATTACTGTATACTTCGAGTATGTTACATACTGTATACGTTGAGCATATTAAAACGGGGTGATGACATTTTGTGCTCTGGGATAAGTACTTACTCTCTACCTCGTCATGTATTAGTACCTTCCAGAAGGGGCTCTGCATTGCGTCGGAATCACATCAATACTCACCTATCAATGTTTAATGGTGACAGGACTTAAAGCTTCATGCATATACAGATATATACACCTGCAAACGTGTTAAGCATGCCTCCCGTATTTGCATATATTTCGAAACTCCATGTATATTTTGGTAACATCTACACATAACTGACCTCATGTTGATGTCTGATATACCACTATACATGAAGTAATGCCGTTGGAAGAACATGGTATACTACGGTTATAACTAACTCAAAGGGAGTACTATTTTTAGTTCGTTATAACCGTAGTTCCTTATAAGCATATATACAGCATAACTAAGGCAAATAGTCGGGACAAAAAGTGAGTTCGTTATATCCGTCAGTTCGTTATAAGCGTGTTCGTTATAATCGCAGTTTACAATAAATACATGTTACCCCACATAGACTGGGTCATATCATACAAAATAGACCAGTGAAGATTCCGGAGTAGAATAGGTCTTCAGCAACCCATGCTTGTCGTCAAAGTCGACTAACGGGAAATGGTCGCCAGGCTCGCTGATTTGGTTGATGCATGTCATCGATCCCAATTGCGTGGATCGATGCTCGTGATATTATTCACTGGATTGTCAGTTCCAGACTCGATTGTTTACAGGCCGCCGTCATATAGCTGTAATATTGCAGAGCGCGGCGTTAAACAACAAACCAATCATACAAAATAGCCTTTAAGTACTAGTCATTCGGTATCTGTGTATCAGCAAAGGTATGTAAACAATGACAAATGTTTTTCACCAGACGATAGGGGGCACGGGTGGCCCAGTCGTCTAAGGCGTCGCGATTCGCTGTGCAGAGTTGCGTCCCTTGGGCACGCCAGAAACCTATGATTGCGGGTTCGAATCCCGGTTCGCCCCGATTATGTTTCTAGGTTTGTCAGCACCATACCCGTGCTCGTGGGTTTCACCGAAGTGGTAAACGTCTGTGACCTGACACGCCGCGATATAACTGGAATACTGTTAAAAGCGGCGTTAAACCCAACTCACTCACTCACTCACTCACTCACTCACCAGACGATAGAATGAAACATGATATGAGATATCAACCTTATGTACAGCCTCTTTAAGGATGATGGTAAAATGTACAAGCTTCAAAAATATATACCCGTGTTTGAATAATGATTACTCCCTCAATAGAATCCGTCCTCGGCAATGTTGGACAAGTCCTTTTTATGCACAGGTAGGTATTTCCAGCATATTCTCACAATGTCCACGTCGCTTATCTCACCTTTTCTCCATATACCGATTATCTTATCTCTCCGTCGTTTGAATGAGATCGCTCGGCCAATGCTTTTATGTGGGTAGCCCGGCTACATCAATGGGGAACAACTACTTGACATTCCCCTTTCGAAAATAACCTCGTCCATTATACGACGTCATGAAGTCCAGAGCGCATGTTCGAATCTCCAGCAATGACGCCATGACAGAACAATGTTTTATCGTGAAATAAACCGCAATTCGTTCTTCATTGTTCTTTGCGATTTATGGTGTAGCTGTCTTATATTAAAAGCTACGTGGTACTATGTCGCTGTAAAGGTGTTTTTATTATTATTTAGAGTTACATCCATACTGATTGCGGCGCCTTAGACACATCTGGAATCATCAAACACTTTTTGAATCTATTTGTAATGTATAATTATATTTGCTACAGGTGTTTGTCAAATGCACGTGATCCAGCAAAACTGTACAGAAATTGTTAAAATACTATTTCACGTAAATTCCATACTAACTCGTAAAGCTAATGCTGTAATACTAACTCGCAAAGCTTTTACACTTACTGACTGAACTATACAGTAAACTAAGGTTATAACGAACTCAAAAGGGACTACTAATTTTAGTTCGTTATAAGTACATATACAGCATGACCACAGCAAGTAGTCGGGACCAAAAAGTAAGTTCGTTATATCCGTCAGTTCGTTATAAGTGTGTTCGTTATAATCGTAGTTTACTGTAACTGCTTTTGCTGGTGTCGTTACTACTAATCATTTAACCAGCATACAACGCCTCAGTGGTGTAGTGAATAGAGTGTCTGACCGGAGAGCGGAAAGTCGGTGGTTCGTTCTCCTGGTCGCAATCACAAAAAGACGTTAGAAGATGGTACTTGTTGAGGGGATATAACAAGGACTGGCCGGCTCGGAGTCACTATACTGTGTCTGAGTGGTGTATCCGTGTGTGAAATGCGGCATGGTATCTCAATGGGCTGGCATTTTGTGCACGGCGCTATAGATATGCTATAATCTTGAACGCGACGTTAAACGTTTCACCTCACTTCACTAATCATGTAACCATTAGATATTTGTGTCAGTAGATGGTGTTCATATTGAATCATATTTTTTCAAACTTGCCTGTAGTAATAATACAGTAGTATTTGTCACTTTTATATCATACACCTTATGAATCCTCCAACCATATGACCCCGAGCGCTGATGAGGGAGTCTTGAGGTCCAGAGGCAGATCCAGGATTTTGAAAATGGAGGTCACATAATACCCAAGTACTTGGTCGAGGAGTGCACAGTTAACATGCAAGGTGTCTCCCCTCTGGATCCGGATCCGCCAGTGGGTTTATATGGAGTATCATATGAAAATGACATGTAGTAACCTTTTTATCATGTACAAAAAAACAAATGAGGCGTGTATGGACTCTCCACGGCCAATGGAGCTCGTAGTCGTGATCATTGAGTCAGTTTCGACGACAGAGGATCATGGTGGAAACAGGAAGGACAGACAGCCATTGTACTAACCGCTGATAATACTAATGCATTGTGTAGGTCCACCAGTTTTTTCTTTCCGCATCAACTCCTTCTCCGGAGCTTTATTCGGTTCAACCTTTTCTCTCCTTGCAATCATGTATTCTTCTTCTGCTACGAATACATCTAATGTAATATTTTCTTAAACAAAACCCAAAACACATAACTATGGGCAGCCCTTCGGTCCAAAAACAAAAAAGGACAAAAGCAGGCAATGGTAGTTAAATGTTACGAATAAAGTATGAATGTAACAAATAAAGGTCATTATTTACACTCGAATCATGAACTCAAACTACAAAACAATACCAATCGCAAACAAAAGACTTCAAATGTATAAAGAGTACAATGTGTCCTAAAGAACACAAGAAGGGCACTAAATTGCTGAAGGACAACGTTGACAATAAAAAACGCTAAATGGCGCTGCGATTTGTAAAACATTCCGAGTTTAATCGGCTTTGTTCGTTACATTTGACTGCCATTGTGCACTTTTGTCCTTTATTTCAAATTTGTTTTTTTTTACCGAATGGCTGCCAATACATATTAAAGAACTTCGACAGTCTCATTAAAATCAGCTTTCCTCCCGCATTAAGCTGACACGCTGTGATATAACTGGAATACTGTTAAAAGCGGCGTTTAACACAACTCCTTCACTCATTAAAATCAGATCTTAGTTTTCGCTACCGTTAAACAAAGATCTGAGGACGTCCCATATACGGGTCACGTCAGACCGACCTTGCGCAAATTTTGACCGACCAATGGAATGACTGACAAGAAGTCGACATTAGCCAATCAGAAGGCAGCTTTCTCGTGCTTTACGGCACTAATTTCAAATTGGCGACTACCCTTCGAAACAAATTATCGATTAAAAATGAAAACCAGAACAAAAGAACATTCTGGAATCGCTAATAGATGTTTTAGATTATATGGATTCAGTCGTTAAGCCCGTAACTATCGTTCGGAATACCCCGTGTTAAAGTTTTCGAGGTTGCATAATTAGAAATCACATTCCGACTGTCACTTTCATGATCTGGTAAGCGACGCTCTGATTGGTTGGATGAAAGGTCGTTCTGACGTGACCCCCAATGGGATAATTTCCACATACGTGTACGCCTGGTGTCATCACCGTAACATTTACAATCTTGTTTGTTGGTTCTCAAAATTGTCGACGGCATTATATTTCCACTCAAAATAAAGCGAATATCCCCATGGGACCGACCATTTGATATTTTTGAGTGGATTAATTGAGGTGTCTGAGATTTTATTCAAGAAATAAATTGTCCCTGAAAATGCTTGAAAACAATCATGCTTAAACCTGCACAATCATGACCTGCCACAAAAAAAGTTATCCTACAAAATCTCGGGACCCACACTACCCACCCCAGAATAGCAAATGGCCGGCCCCTAATGCTTAGCTTTCTGTTGCTTCACTCAAGGTACTCGGCGTCTATAGTAACCTGCTCAGTGGGCAATGTATCTAATCCACGAACAGTAACATTGCGCATTCAAAAGAGGAATACAACACTGACCGTCTTCTATCCTTCCAGAGAGAAGGTCCAGTTCACTATATGTTTCCCCGCAGTGCACTCAAATTATAAGAACAGAGAAGAACTTGTACAGGCAATCTCCATGAACAGAATCCTAGGAGCTGAACGGTTTGTTCTATACAACCACTCCATGTCGTCCACTTTACATGGGGTCATCAACGTCTTTGTCCAGAACCAAGTCCTTGAGGTGGTTCAATGGAAACTACCAGTATCCGAAATCCACTATGTGGCTCAGCTCGCTGCCGTCCACGACTGTTTCTACAAGAACAGATACACATCTAAATACATCATCTTCCAAGATCTGGACGAATTTATTATCCCAAAGCAGTTCCTGGGGTGGGACAGGATGATGAGCAAATTGAAAAGGGACTACCCTTTGGCCGGCACGTTCATATTTAGACACACCTTCTTTCCCAGATATTGGCCTGACGCGTTCTTGAACACTTCTGATGACAAGGACATACAGGACCATAAACTATATCTACTGACAAAGATCTCGCGACATGCTCGAATCATGGGATGGAACGAGAGGTCAAAGTTTATAGTTGTGCCAAGCAGGGTACGGATTATTGGGATACACCATGTTCCAGGACATGAGCCTGGGTTCAGAGATGTGCTAGTTAACCAGTCTATAGGCCTTCTTCATCATTATCGGGCAAGCGCACCAGACTCTGCGCACCGAGTTAACGACACGTCCGTGAGACGGTTTACTAGTCAGTTAGTGGCTATGACAGGCTCTGTGTGGAACTGTACAGGAATGACATAGCCACATGGAGCTTCATAGACGTAACGAGTGTGCCTAAAATATGGACAACTCAGAGCTGTTTTATACATTTATGGAGCTGAGGTTAGGTGAAATGGGGCTAATGTCGTGTTAAAAACGAGTGTACTATACCGAGGTGCACCAAACTGACTCCGTGCCGACCAGTCCTCGTTTTACCCCTTTAATGCCATGCGTCAGTCAGGGTAACAAGAAGTACCATCTGTGAACGTTATTTTGTATTACGCGCCCAGGGTTCGAATCCCGGCTACATGAAACTGGGACATATTAGTGGTTGACGTAATAAAGACATCCAGTGAGTGAGTTAGAGAGTAGCGCCTAATGTATCAAAAGGGTTTAATGTAGCCAATAGTTAATGAGGCTTTGATACAACCGGGTCCTGGTTTTTGCGTGATGTTGCTAAAATATTTTTAAATTTTTGCAATTAATATTTTCTACCCTATATGCTAGTGTCTGTTTTTGGTTTTATTAGTAGTTCATGCTGCATACAGTCCGCGTTTATGAAGGACTCATGCCATTGGTTGTTTGGGTTGTTTGTTTAACGCTGCACTTAGCAATATTTCAGCTACATGACGGCGGTCTGTAAATAATCGAGTCTAGACCAGACAATCCAGTGATTGATAACATGAGCATCGATCCACACAATTGGGATCGATGACATGCATCAACCAAGTCAGCGAGCCTGACCACCCGATCCCGTTTGTCGCCTCTTACGACAAGCACAGTCACCTTTTACGGCAAGCATGGGTTGCTGAAGACCTATTCTATCCCGGATCTTCACGGGTCGGTTGTTGTGTGTTTTATCTGATAAATGTATAACCTTGTTTGTGAGTTGCGAGTTACCTTTTTAAACACGTAGCTTTGGGCATTTATGTTTGAAGCATTGACATATTTTGGCATTCTGTTTTGATAGCTTTTTTCATACTTGTATGTGTTAGCGAACAGCTCAATGTGTTACCCTGAGGACACCTATTTGATTTGTTTTTAGTTCCACTTATAATATCCTTTGCTTTTTAACCCTAAACATTCCAATAAAACCTCATCGAAAACCATGTTCTAGCCAGCCAGCTCTTCTTTAACTGGTCTCTTCGCCTTTAAGAACAACTGCTCTATGAAGGTTCTACTACACCAAATCAGAACCAGTTTGGACAGTGCGGTTTTCGTAGCCTTCAGTGCAGATCGAGAGATATCTGCAGGCTGTGATTGGAGGATATTCTGTAAGATTTTTATGTCTTTCAAATGTACATCCATCCAGTTATTAAAACTGACCATGTTTTTTCTATATTTAGTACTGTCTTTTTCAACATGATGACTTATGCTGAATGTGACCACAGCTATTTTTAAGTAGGTGACATTTGGTGCGAAACTGGGGGTGGTGTGTTTAGCTTCCGGTACTCGGAAAAGGAGCTGGCTAAGCTAGTCATTTATTTTTTTATTGCTGCTCTAAGGCCAAACTGTGCACACACGTACAGGTAATAGCTGTTGAATGCTTAGTTATTTAAAAAAAAAATATAACGTTACCATAGAAGTCTATGGGAAAACATTTGGTTGTGTGTAACCTGTACGCACATGGCTCCATCCCAGGTGTATGGAACCTTCTGGAGAAGGATCTGCTTCTACTCTTCTTACATGCCTTCGTGGTTAGTGGTACATTTCTTGTACTCTCCTATGGAGGGATAAAATCATATATATATACCTCGGAGGATTTCATTTAGTACGTGTGACTTCATGTTTCCACCGAGAGTCATACAGCAACCAGGCGTATAAAAATGCGTAATATTATCGTTCCTCAAATTTAGAAGTGACATGAGCGTAAGGATGCTCCAATTGCTTTTCAGAATCATATTTTGAAGTTTGGTTACAACAAATAATATCATCATTAGATGAGGAAGGTCTGTTAAATGGCGAATAAAGTCAACAGCAACTTTGCAGGTTTTAATACTTTAGGGCATGCTTCATCATAAATGCTTGACCAAAATTAAAATTAAAAATCGCAAATAGCGAAAACCAGACGATAACAAAACGAGAGGAAAAGTCGTCCCTCAAACGAAAATTTCCGCCACTAAGGGGATTCTCCTTACTGGGGTTAAAACAGGTCCCCGTCGTTTGACGCGGTGCGCATTTTCAACGATCGTGAAGGGCGGGCCGACACCCAGTTTGTCTGCTTCCGATTTTTTCATACATTACGTCTTTTTTCTGTCTGCTCATCTATTTGATTACAGTGTCCACACCTTACGTCGCCTTAGTAACAACACGCAAAATGCCTTCAGTTGTTTACTCAGGGGATTAATCCCGGACAGGCATGTATTGTGTAGAATAGGACCGAGGGCAGCTGGTGTTTTTTTATGTTTGTAATAAAACGCTAGTTACCGTTTGTCAAATGTTATCTTGATTATTCACAAGGTCAAGATCAAGGGTCTTTTCACACATTCAACAATGTATGCAATGTTGATATTTTTGTAGGATTAATAGAAATAGCAGAAACAGTAAATATATATAATGGATAAGAATCACAAGATAGATAAAATCGGCAAACGTATCAGCCAATGGAAACAGTTGTCCGCGCTGCACCGGTAACTTTAGGCCACGCCTCCAAATAGGTTTGTTTTGGATGCCGATTACGAGGCGTGCGAGTTCAGTACTTTCACTTGGACATTTAAATACTTTCTACGAATATTATGATTTTCTCTCTCTCGGAAATTGACTGAATGTATCTTCGAAAATTGATATTTGCAACAAAATCGCAATTATTTTTGTCGCTTTACTTGCCCTTTAAGAACAACCCCAGAAAGTCAGTCACATAGACCGTGCGTCGTAAAACATTTACATCAAATACGGAACGTCAAAATAGCCGACACAAAAAAAGGTGACGAGTCTGCTTTCCCAATGAACCTGCAGATGGAGCCACGTGTTAGTCAGCATTGATAACTTAGATGTGTCAGACGGATACTGGGGTAAATTCACAGATTGCTCCAGACTGTCGCTGTCAGCCTAGGCACGGATCGAGTCGTCAGTGTTTACGTCATTTCAAGAATACAGTCTCGTGAAAAACGTATGAACGTCAAAATGCGTCGTTCATACGCTGATGAACATATATTTCGCGGTCATTTGACCGACCCGTCGTCCAACGGAAAAACCGTATATCGTGAAATATTTACCATATTTACCATGTTATTACATTTTGAATCAAAATGAATGAACTAGAGGTCGAAAACACCGCGGGAATTGAGCCGAAAATATCTGAAACTTAAGTCCAAAGCTGTTATAATGGAATTTAATATGTCAATGGCGACAAATATAGGCGAACAGGGTTAACCGTTGCTGCGAAGGAGTCGGCTGCTTTCGGCCATCATGGCAACGCAACAGCTGTCATGTTAGGAGTGAGTGAGTGAGTTGGGTTTTGAAAGTATTCCAGTTATATCACGGCGTGTCAGCTTAATGTTGGAGGAAAGCCGGAAGTGATACAGGTCTGAGACGTTTACCACTTCGGTGAAACCCACGAGCACGGGTATGGTGCTGACAAACCTAGAAACATAATCGGGGTGAACCGGAATTCGAACCCAGTCATAGGTTTCTGGCGTGCCCAAGGGACGCAACTCTGCACAGCGATTTGCGGCGCTTTAGACGACTGGGCCACCCGTACCCCCCTCATGCTAGGACAAGACTAGGGTTAGAGGATGCCTTAGACAAATACGGTCCACTTTACAAGGACCTTTCAAAATTGTAGTGAATGTCAACAATGGGATTTAGGGGGCGATGCATGATTAAAATAATGCACATTGTGAATATAAACACGCGGAGTTTAGTATTTTATTTGTTACTTGCCATTTATAGAATTATACTGTTGAGTGTGAATACACTGACATCCACGGCATAGTTCTATTGAGTTTTAACAAAATAATACTTCAAACAGGTCAAAAGTTGAAACGTATTAATTTACTACCATACAACGGTCCACCTTTAGAATTCAGGCGTCCGTTTCACAAAATCAAGATAGCTCTAAGGTTATTAACGACTGCGCTACAATACGATCAATGTGAGGCATCTGTACACCACTTGATTCCCATCATGATACATGATATATGTAACACCTGGTACGGATACCTGGTACGGATACTTATCTTTATTACTTGCCCGAGAGGAGATCACCCCGTTCGTCCTAGGTCCATCGGAAGTGGGTCAGGGGAAATCTTTAATGAACACCCCTCGTATGCTACTACAACCGCGACAGTGAGTTGCATGACAAAATACGAATGGAGATCACCCGTTTAATAAACATACAGCCATAATTATATTTTCGTTGTGTTCATTGAAGTTCCTGCATTCTGACTAGCTGAATTGGTCACGAGTTATTGCATTCATTTCCCAATACGCGGATTCATACAGTTTGCACAACGGTTTTTCGATTCATACCTCAATGAACCGAAAAATACACAATCAATCCTCAAGCGCTCAATAACAGTGAACAGGTCGAACAGTGAATTCATATGCTAGATAGTTACAGCTGGTACCTGGCTGCAAAAACACTTTCGCTATTCAAATACCAGAACACTCGTTTCATAAAATTGTTTTTTTACGGGAGCTCGGTTAGCATTCTTTATTTATCATATAATGGGTAGGTTTCTCGGCAGGATAAAGCCAACGGATAAAAAACGATATCCGTTGGGGTCATATGCGGATAGAGATGCAAATATCAAAGGTCAAGTAGGGACTACTTTCAGTGTTTATAAACAAACATGGCGTCGCCCTTGTCATTCGGCGATCGAGTCAGAATTAACCATCGGGAATCTGGATAAACTAGAAGGATAATTGCTATCTTTATCAAAAGAACAGTCTAATATACTGAAAATCAGTGTCTAACTTATAAGTTTTGGCAACTTTGGAGATATAAATTTGGAAACTATTTTGCGAGGGCGCTAGGCCGAGCCAAGCGGGATCAGTAGCCATATCTGTGCTTGTAGACCTCTCCGGCTTAAAACCTTTTCCACAAATTAAAATAGTTGGATTTGGCCGAAATATGTTTGAATTGTTACCTTGTTTCGTTTTGTCGCTGTGTACATCTGACTGCACTTCTTAACGTTATGACAGGACAGGCCGACTGTCAACAACGTCTGAACGTGGCCGTGGCGTCTCACAGACTAGGGATAGAGTAGCTTCCCTTTGACAAAGGGCAGTTACTCTAGCGGACTGACCGATGGATTACCGCGAAAAGCCAGTAAAAACAATTGATGTTTTGCGTATATGTTGCTTCGCCACTGTATAAGAAACAGATTTCAGTTGGAACTATATTGGCTACTGTCACTGTCCGACAGACACATCACTTACCCTGTGACGTAATAAATATTAATACACATGAAAACTCGCAATGTTACGGTAATATTTGTGAGAGAGGGAAATCGATTTTCAAGCATAGAATTATAGAATGACATTATATGATAAACAGGTTATCACGCTTGTGCGTTTTGGGATGATAAATATCCTCTATTAGGTAAAAACACTATGTATTTAGCTCGCCAAAGTTTATTCCCAATGCAGGATATTTACCATCCCCAAACACAACTCTTGAGTTTGACGGGAGCCATTTTATCTGTTAATTGATTATCACACTGTGTAATGAAGCACAATCTCTGCACTGAATCATAACAACTGAAG